TTTTTTGCTGTTAAATCAATTGATCGATGTCAAATGAAACATATTCAAGTTTAAATCCCATCATTAATACGAAATGAGAAATCAATAATTTTAGAAAATCTAAAGTCAGAAGACTCAGAACAGATCTATTTTTTCTAATTAATAATAAAATATAATTTGTTTCTAAAAAACCAATATCTCTGTATGCAGATCAACCCCATAAATATAAATATAGATAGAATGATAGTAATTTCAAGTACGAAAAAATTTAAAGAGGGAAAGTCAAAAGCTGTCGATTTAGAGAAGGGACCCCAAAAGTTTGGGAAGACCACGGATAAAAATGATGGGCGCACGTGGCCTTTCATACTTTTCTACAGAACCTGGTCACGTGTCGAATCCCCACCATTGCCAATTTACCCACTTCGTTGCAGATAAAATATGATGGGCGCACGTGATATTTAGCCTTTACACGGAATCTGGGCACGTGTCGATTCCCCATTGCCCATTTCCCCACTTCCTTATCGATGTCGAACTAATTAATTCGAACATATCCTTTTTTTTTTTCTTCCCACACGGGTAATATTCGGGACCTTTTTATTTCATTGGGAAAATTCATTGTACTCTTAAGATTCTGGAACACTTAATTTCCCATTGAATAAGATTTTCCGGCGGTTGGATATAGTCCAAGATCGTAATTAAATATCAAAATGTAATGAATGAAAATCGGGTTTTACCAAAGTTCTTCGTTGATCTGAAACAAGCGTTAGAAATTAATTGTCTTCAAAACCCAAGGTGATTCTAATTAGGATAGGGTGCATCTACCTTTCAAAGCGATTATTTGTACCTAGCTACTGTCATTAGTCCACCAAAACTTTTTAGTTTTAAATTTCAGTCAAAATAGATATATACAACTACACTACACTAACTCAATTCATCCAATGTAAGCTTTTCTTACTCACGAGATTTTTTTTCTTCTCAATAATATGACAGCATCAAAACGAAAATTAAATGGATCTCTTTTGGTTTTGAAACACCGCAAAATATCTAGGCTGCTTGTTGTACTATATAGTCTTTGAATGTATAATTTGGATTTGATATATCCATAGTAAAGAT